GGCAAAGAAAAGCTGCTATCTATTCGTTTTGCTTATTTAATGTCATTACCGAATTTAAAGCAACTGATAATGGAGATCAGAGCCTTGTGGACATTGACGGGAGCTTAGGAGGCTGCAAAAGAATCGACATTCCACTATGGATACATGTTTAAAGTAGTGTGTATAAAGGGATTTCACTAGCGTCTGAAAATTTTAGACGAGATAAGAGTCACTATAAGTAGTTCAAGTCTTTGCTGTTGATTTGTGAAGAATTGTGCATGTTAAATCCTTGATAAAAATGAATCTAGTAGACGAAGAAGTTAGAGGTGGATTTAGATTGAATAAGGAAGGATAGTAAATAAAATTCCTTGATCAGAAAATCAAAAACATTTTTCATCTTAATCCACACCCTCTAACCAGTTTACTTATTAATTTCGACAATAATATTATGTTGAATTCTTTATATTATTTAATTCGATTTAAGCTTAGCTAAACATGTCAGCAGGGCAATGTATTTTTCCACTTTTGCCTTTAAAATTTCATCGTGCTAGGGTGCTGGCCAGATAGGTTGAGGTTGACAGTGTCACGTGATATTTTATCATTGGACTGTTTACAATACATTTAGTATTTTCATCCAATCATCTGCTGCTACCTGAACTTCTGTTACTGCACCTGTCAAAATCCTCGCAAATTGATCTATCTTTCTATTTCACATTTTTGTCATCTAGGCCTTCTTTTTATATTTTTTGTTAATTTAGGAGATTGTGGAAAATGAGGGACTAAATTTGAAACAAAATAGAAGTCCAACAATAAAGTACTTAATTATTAATTTCACCGTTGTGCGACGTCTCCCGTTAATCTACTAATGGACCAGAAATACGACATCCTGCTTTCAATCATCCATCCCATAGAGTTATGCGCGCCTTCTTTTACAATTTAATTTTATAAATTAAAAATTTCATAAAAATAAGATTCATATTATGGACGATTTTATCCAAGTAATATTTAAGACATGTTTGACATGACTTTTAAGAAGTCAAAATGACTTTTTGAAACTCAAAAGCTTTTTTTTTTTAGACCATTTTGACTAATTTTATGAAAGTATTTCTTCTAAGGCTTATTAGCACAAAACGTCCCTACGTTTGATAGTTAGTGTGCAAAACGTCCCACCGTTTCATTTTTTTGCATTTTTGCCCCTATTTCAACGTTTCAGTGTGGAAAACATCATTTTCACTATTTTTCAGTGTAAAATGACCATTATACCCTCAAATTTAAATGAAACA